CTGGCATCCTTTCCATTACAGCTGTAAAAGGCGCAGATAATGAGATCACCAATTACGTTGCAACTTTGGTGGACATCACGCGGGAAAAATCCACTACCGAAGAAATTCAGTTTTTAGCTTTTTATGATCAGCTTACTGGTTTGGCGAATCGCCGCCTGTTACTGGATAGACTTAACCATGCTTTAGTTTCACACGCAAGAACTGGCCGCGATGGCGCATTGTTGTTCTTAGACCTTGATCACTTTAAATCGCTCAATGACACCTTAGGACACGATGTCGGTGATATGCTACTAAAAGAAGTAGCGAAACGCCTTACCGCTTGCGTACGTGAAGATGACACCGTTGCCAGACTAGGTGGTGATGAATATGTGGTATTACTTGGTAACCTCAGTGAAAAACCGCTAGAAGCTGCTAGACAAGCTGAAGTGATTGGCACAAAAATACTTAACGCCTTAAACAAACCCTACCAATTAGGTTCGCATGAGCATCACAATACCCCCAGTATTGGTGCAGCATTGTTTAGTGATCACGTTGAATCGCAAGAAGAATTGCTCAAACATGCTGACATCGCGATGTATCAAGCTAAAAAAGCTGGTCGTAACAATCTGCGTTTTTATGACCCACAAATGCAAGAAGCGATTCACAAGCGCGTTGAGCTTGAACGAGAGCTTAGAAAAGCCATTGAAAAAAGACAACTTGAATTGTATTACCAAATTCAAGTCAACCACGCTAAAGAAATTATTGGGTCAGAAGCATTAGTGCGATGGGTGCACCCTACGCGCGGCCTTGTATCGCCATTACAGTTTATTCCATTAGCAGAAGAAACTGGTTTAATCTTGCCAATTGGCCAGTGGGTATTAGATAGCGCTTGCGCACAAATTAAAGAATGGCAGAAAAATAAGTTCACACGTAATCTTGTTTTATCTGTGAATGTTAGCGCAAAGCAATTTCACCAAAATACGTTTGCTAATCAAGTAAAATCGACCCTACAGGTGTACGGCATAAGCCCAAAACTGTTAAAGATTGAACTCACCGAAAGTATTTTATTAGAAGATTTTGATGCCACTATTGTCACGATGAACGCGCTAAAAAAAATTGGCGTGTTATTCTCTTTGGATGACTTTGGTACAGGTTACTCATCATTACAATATCTTAAAAAACTCCCCTTAAGTCAGCTTAAAATTGATCAAACATTTGTGCGCGATATATTTACCGATAGTAGCGATAAAGTGATTGTCGCCACCGTTATCGCCATGGCAAATAGCCTAGGTTTAGAAGTGATTGCAGAAGGCGTTGAAACTGCTGAACAACAACAACAACTGTTTAAGTTAGGTTGCAAAGCCTATCAAGGCTTTTTATATAGCAAACCAATACCAATAGTACCATTTGAAGCATTGCTACAAGGGTTTGCGGACACACTCCGCCCCAAATAACCACTATAAACTGTATAATGCGCGCTTTAATATAGTAGCGACCAACCTTCGCGATTTATAGTGTTGTTTCGCAACGAAGTCGTCGCTCTTAAATCACCAACAAGAAAATCTCCATGCCTTATATCACCCTAGATAATGCCTCTTTAGCTTTTGGCCATCACGCCCTGCTAGATAGCGCTGCTTTTCAATTAGACGCTGGCGAGCGCGTTGGCTTAATTGGCCGCAATGGAGCGGGAAAATCAAGCTTGCTGAAAGCCATTGCTGGCACAATTAAGCTGGATGATGGCATTATTTGGCGCGCACCCAACGTGCGCGTGGTGTATGTGCCACAAGAGCCTGAACTTGACACCTCACATACTATTTTTGAAGCGGTGGCCGAGGGTTTAGGCACGCTACAACAAACCATCATTGATTACCACCAAGTCACCCATGACATGGGCATGCCAGATGCAGATATTGAAGCACTGATGACAAAAATGCAGCATTTGCAACATGATATGGACGCGCAAAATGGCTGGGCAGCACAATCCCGTGTTGAAACTGTGCTTAGCCGCTTAAATTTAGATGCAGATGCGCTCATTAGCACACTTTCTGGCGGCTGGCGTAAACGCGTCGCTTTAGGGCGTGCTTTGGTGGCCGAGCCTGAAGTGCTTTTGTTGGATGAACCCACCAACCACTTAGATTTAGAAGCCATCGAATGGCTGGAAAATTTGCTATTAAATTTTCAAGGTAGCGTGCTGTTTATTACGCATGACCGCCGCTTTTTAGATAG